TTTGAACAGGAACATATGAATCAGCAAAATAATCGGGATCTGGCAGAACAATTAGATAACCTTGATCATTAGATTCATTAGAAAAACTTTTTGCATCATGACTGGTTTGATTTGGCACCACTGTATTCACTATACTGTTTGGTTTGTTCCCCGTTTCTTCGTGGGCGGGTACTGCAGCAATTTTATGGGCGCTTAATAAGATATTGTCTTTCTGTGAACTGGACGATTCATTGTTCGCACGTTTTGTTTCAGGGATAGTAGGACTTGAGCCACGTATAGGGCATGCCTCTGAAACAGGCAGCACCGGACTACTGGGCTGATCATGTAGGACTGTTATTGCTTCGTTTAATTTACTGTTTGTCATGGATTCATTGAGGCTTTCACTGGTATATTCATTTGTTCTGCAATCGACTTCCAGTTCTGTACGCAATTTAGAAATCAATGCGTCAACTTCCGTTGCACCCCCAAAGCATGGGTGATTCAGCAGCGTCGCGTGTAACTTGTCAATGAAATCCAACTGACTCTTTTTAAAACGCTGCTCTTGTCTCTGAATTAGCAACTGAAATTGATCGGAAGTTAAAGCCATTTTTTTTACCCCGTCGTCAGTTGTTATATCGTATGCGCCCGTAATATGTATGAACGTGCGATTAGAGAGGAGTGGATTTTACTGATCGGATGCAAATGATACTTGAAATACGTACGAGCAGTCTTGGGTGCTATTCGGTCCTTCCTATCTGCCTAGCCCAGCCTGTTAAATCCAGAACACAAATAACAGCCTCAGCAATATGAATCATTATTTACAAACATACTGGGTTTTTATACAAACCAAAGTAATCAATAAACTGATTATAACTCAAGAATCGTATGATCATAAATCAAAGATCAAAATAATAGAAAACACGAATATGAATAATTTAGTTACGTAACAACTGTACAATAAGAAATAGGCATAATACATTGGTCGATAATAGACCTCAGATTTACGATCCATAATTCACCAGGGGATATAACAGTAGAAATACTGAAATAATGAGTGCATCTTAAGAATCAAATAAACATCCATGTACATGAATTTTTTTATGAATGCTGATCAAATTGAAAGTACCTGTGCCGAACTTTAACTCCATTAGCTTATCGATGGAAGTCATATGTTTGAATATATAATCTATAACTTTTGACCGACAGGAAAACTCAGCCTTAACCCTAAAACACCGTATCAACAACTAAACTGTTTAACCAAGTTCTGATATATTATTATCATTAATGATAAATAATCGCATTAAATTTAAACTCATTACACTACTTAACTCAGGTATACAGATAAATATGAAGAAATACTAAATTTTTCATTTCAAGTTATCACACTGAATTGTTTAGATCACTTTTTTTACTTACGCCTGTTACCCCTCGTCGAGGAGCATAGGCCGCACACCAGCATTCTCTATCCAACCCTGTCTTAGGCAATCCTCTCCAGTTCTTTCCAGTTAACATTCATCCTTCTCATATCTGCTTCTATTTCCCGACGTAATGTGTTCTTTGGCCTTCCTCTTTTCCGCTTCGCTTCCGGATTCCAAGTTAGGGATTGCCTCGTGATGCAGTTTGGTGATTTCCGTAATGTTTGTCCTATTCACTTAAAACGTCTCTTCCTAATTTCCTCTTCAGCTGGAATCTGGTTTGTCCTCTCCCATAAAACGCTGTTGCTGATAGTATCCGATCAGTGAATGATGAGTATTTTGCGTAAACAACTATTTATTAATACTTCTACCTTCTTGACGATGGATGTAGTAGTTCTCCACGTTTCACTTCCGTACAGTAGAACTGTCTTGACGTTCGTATTGAAGATTCTGACTTTTAAATTAGTTGACAGTTGTTTTGAGTTCCATATGTTCTTCAAATGCAGAAATGTTGACCTTGCTTTGTCGTTTAGATCACCTACAAGATATTTCATATCATTAATATTTTTAAATTGGAAATAGTATTGGAAAAAAAATCTTAAAAAAGATAATATTAAAACATTTGAAACTATTTTTTTTCTAAAGTCAGTTCATCACAATGTACATTCCTTTCATATAATTTAGTTATTTTTTTAAAAAAAAAAGAGAAAGGTGAAAGACACAAAATTTTTAAAAAAATAGTTGTTTTTTTTAATTTTTCATAATTTGAAAAAGTATGAAACTCAAATGATTTTCATATAATAAAACTCCTTATAGACAATGTTTACTTTTTCTAGAGTTTACTTTGTTACACAAAAATGTTAAAACAAAAAAATGTATTAAGATAAATTTTGTTTTTGTTTGTTTGTTGGTTTTTTTAGAAAAACCCTGGTTATTTATTTTTCTTAATTAAAAATAAAACAGACATTTTATTTATGTCTTAATTCTTAAAATATTATGGTTTGCCGATTTTTCTTAGAAAAAACAAAACAAGATAATTTAGCGCATTAATTAATAATGAAATGAAATTAAGAAGACGAATAGTAAATGAATCAAAATCATGTAGTAGTAATAATAATAATAATAATAATAATAATAATGAAAAAGAAAATTTGGTTTGAAATGATAGAATCGAACGTTTCGCATTGAAAAAAGGCTAGATTCTAAAGTCCAAAAGAGAATTTTAAAAATGGATACATCTGCGCAACTGTAACTAATTCTGAGCCATTTCATTCAATATCTTTAATCACTGATAGGGTTTATCAGGAGGACGACAGCCATGTACTCTGTACTTGCTAACATGATATCAGGAACTGAAGTCATGTATTGTTTAATATGCCTCTAGCTTTCTTCAAAACTAGTTTTACACTAGTAATTATAGGCTGTCGAGGTAGACATTGATCGAGGACGTGTCGCACTAGTCTCAATCACATCGGTCGACGAAATCTGACAAGTTGATTTTCTATCTTTATACAGTACTCTATGTTCACTCATTTTTCGGAACATACTATAAACATATGAGCAAGTAATAGAAATCTACGAAAACCTGATATTAAAGAACACGTTTCACAGACATAAAATAAAACAGAATGAACCGTAGCGTAGTACACTTGATCTTTAGTTACCAGATAGATATCTTATGCCCCGAGTGAATAAGTTGATTAAGGTAAATTAATCTCTCTGAATCCGTGCAGAGATTTTATTGAGCTTCAATCAACCAATGTTTTGACTTTCAAATAAGTGAATTGGTTGATGCATTCAACTACTTCATTGTCTGTCATCAGTTGAGGAGTTGATACAGATCAGTCCTGAAGTAGTATTTTTATTGAAGGAGATTTGAAGAATCTACGTTTTATCAACGTCTTTACTAAATAAAACTATTTTAAGTAGATGACCGAACCTTCAGATAGGAAATCGACTGATAGAAATTTAAGTTATTTCTAGAAGTACATCGACAGTGCAACTGAATAAAAAGGGGGACAGTAGGTAATTCTGACGAGCGTACTCAAGGTTGACAGACATGATAGCAATTAACCACAAGCTTTTACTAGACTAGGAATGCTTGAGCAGAGACCCTTTACAAGGTTTAAATATTTCTCTTTTACGCCTTTCAATGTCAAACACTGCTACAGGACCCAATTTGATTAAAATTTCATTCTAAACGGATTTCAGTTAGAAAACTAAGAAGGACCTGACAGTTGCACCCTGAAATTTATGTACAGATGTCATGGGACTTCTTACATATTCCAACAAACAACGTGTTGCTTATTTGCAGTCCGGCATTACACGTTTAACTTTAACTTATTTATGATATAGTCAGTGAATTACTGCCTGATTCCTGGTTTCAAGTTTACTTTTTTCTAATGAACAGCAGTCGAATATTAGTAAAGTCATCTGTATTCTAGTCGGATGTGCAGAACATCCTTATTAACGGGATGTAGTTATTGATCATACCATGTATTTAATCATCAGCATTCACTCAAATTATATTACATATTCAACTGAGCACATTTTGGTACAAATGGGCACTAAAAAAAATATGCGATCCTCCCGGGGGCCAACTAAGCACTGAATCGCCCTACGACATTCTGAATGAAATGTTGAAGAAACTGAGTTCAGATTCATGAGAGATTATCATTCACTTATTGCCACGATCACCTTCCCATTGGACCACCGATGAGCATCCAATTATTAACATTTACAGCACAGTTTGAGTGCGGTGTGTACATAGCTCACCCACTAATAAATAACTAATTAGTAGACTACCAAAGCAATTCAAAACCCCTATATAATTCTTTTTTCGTAGATGCTTAAATTGTTCGACACATCCATGTGATATAAACTTTAAGATGTTAGGCTCATTTGTTCCACTAACAAAAACATAGTTTATTATATTATTATTAGCTTTATTCAATATTGTATTTTTGGTACAATAGGATTCTTAAGCACAGCTATATTACGTGAGATGAAGTTGATGGTATAGTTAGCTCGACAAAGCCAATTTTAAGATGAAAATATTGAAAAAGACTGATTTGTAAAATTTGTGAATCCACTCGCTCCCATTATCCTCTATGACATTTTACTATATTACTATTCCACTACTCATAAGTACTCAAAATTATAAAATAAACATTTGGCTTAAGTAATTTATTGGTGTGATTATTCGGAAAATACCACTCATTGCTTTTTGAAAATTGATCCATCTTAAGAAGTACTTACGATCCCTACTAAGTTCCTTTTGTTGCAGGGACCCTATGAGCACTATAAGAATGAAGGTATCGAAGTGGTTGTTTGGAACTGTCTTGAAAAGTATATCAAGTCTTAAGCATATACATGTTTAAACAATTGAATGTTTTAGTCATTTCTGTAGAATCTAATAATTGTAGTTGAGGTATAAGTGAAAACCGCCATTGAGATAACTTTGCTTCCTTGTTGAACGTGTTTAGCTAGTCAGCTGTCCTCAGATTGATTAGTTAATTAGAAGTAATCAATGTAATCCTACTTACTCCTTACAGCAGACTAAATTATATCTACGTTAGGCAAAACGACTTAAAAGTAAGCCGGTTATCATGAAGCTAATAATGGTTCTGTATTTGATTTCGCGACGCCAGCTCTAAATGACAGTCCAATTTTGAGGGAATATGAACCAATCAGTGGGTCATTATCAGCATAGAGCATAGTACAAATGTGCGTAGACCTTAGTTGTTGTATCATAAAAATACACAGATGAGATTAAGAAAACAAACAGCAAACGGATGGAATTAACAAAAGGTTCAGTTATAGTTAGAAAGACTAAACATTTGGGGAATACAATGTGGAAGGGGTGAATTCAAGGAGTAACAGTTATGGAACAATATTGAAACTCAGGACTTAGAAGAGAGATTCCTATGCTTATTGCGATTAATTATGATTTGACATTAATCGCTTAGTTTTCATAATTCTTGTGCTAAGTTTTACATAAGAATGTTCATATCTTTGCAAACAATAAATTTCATAATATTAGTTCATTCTGTGAGAATTTCTGCAACACAAAATGTTGCTTAGGAAATTTAATGGGACAAAATAATTCATATTTTGATACTCTATCGCACCAACGAAACCTTGTTACTATTCGCATTTATTTATAGCTACGTAACATTAACTGTTATTTACAGCAATAAACTCTATTCAAAAACTACTCGACAGTTGATCAGGACTTGGAAGAATTGGAACAGCTAGAAACTAAGATAAAACAACACAAAGTAAATAACCAACTGAACAAAGTGTTTCAGCTACATTAATAAAATTATATACAGCTTTTGAATAGCAGAAATATATCGATGACAAGCAAAGAAGCAACTTAAAAACTTATTAAGACAAAATTATTCGAAAAATAAAGTGAGGCAACTTCTAAAACATTACATCAACGTTTTCAATCTAATAGATAGCTAAATAAATAGGGATGTAGATATCCAGCTTCACCAGACGGACAAAAATATGGTATAATGGTGTACCACAAATTCTGGCAGAACCTCAAGGTGTATAATGAACAAGTTTATCGCAGTAAGCTTTGGAAAGAATGAAGATCAAAAATCAACACAAATATTTTAACGTAAACGAAAGTTTATAATTACAAGGTACAGTGATGTTGCAGAAGCAACTTTTGGGACAGATTTTTCGTACAAATAAACCTAAGTCAGCAGTGGAAGTACAGTGTATTGGGTGCTTGAGCAGTCTATTCGCTAAAGTCAAGATCAAGTAAACAAGAGAAAGACAGTCATCTATACATCACAAGTAATAATGGTATTGAATTCACTGAAAACTGGAAGGCACACCTAGTCGCTGAATCAACCATTTAATTTACTTTTGAGAAAAACCATCTAGTAACTGTCATTTAAATTAGCAGGGTTATCATGGATTTTATCTGGTTTGTTATTCGACATTTCGGAAGGCGATCCTTCGTCAATTTTCTGAAAAGATTCACACTCATTGAAGTTTGAGGGAGTTGATTCTGGTGAAAAGCGACTGGAAGTAAAATGAGGTTTTTGTTTATTACGCAGACTTTCAAGGTATTCACGTCTGGACTGTTCCATGACCATAGCAACCAAATCATCTTCCTCCATTCCTGTGAAGACAGAAGCACAAACATTCTCAAAAAATATGAAGAGATATATAACATTTCCTTACAAAACACCTAAATAATGCTGTCTATGGAAATATAAATTCCCAAAATTGCGCGAAAAAATATTTAGAAACATAGATACTCATAATAGGTTCTCATAATTACAAAATACTAATAAAACATGGCTATGGTTTTATTGTTCTAAAGTACGATATTGGATGCAATTAAAAGGCAAGAAAGCCTCTGCAAAGCAAAATGGAAGAACAATTGACTCTGAAGAGCACTGATATACCTGAGGTAATCGGACTAACAAGTTGATCACGAAACCAAGTAGAATTCAGGAGACAGAAACACTTGTTGGCTGAGTATGTAGAAATATATTAGGAAACTATATACACTCAGCTAAAATACTATAACTAGTGATTACTCAATAGCCATTCAATAATTAATCAAGGATGAAAGATAGTCATTAGTAAATCAACATGAAAATTGAGATGTCTGCCAGATTAAGTCACCACACCGAATCACCCTTCTAACGTTTAGCAAAAAGTGAACAAATGATCGATCCATCATGTCTCTCACATAATCTGCACATTATGACGATAGATACTACTTTTTAAGTCGCTAGTAGCAAAATCATAAACGAATCTGTACAATTGTCTTACTTTAGAATAACAGGACTACATCACTAGCCCACGAAATCCTGGGCTGCTCTGCTGCGCAGGAAAAAGTAAGTTTTCCGGTTGGAGATTGATTGAAGACCTTCACTGACAGGTCAAAATCGATATTAGTGTATATATCCACCATCCAAAACTTCAAGCTTAATGTTATTCCGTGCTGCTAGCTTCTCAATTTTATTGGTTTCGTGTAGACTATAGTTTTTTGGTTACCCAGCATTCCTGACATCACTACTTCTGATCCTTCATTTTGTATCGTGACCTCCCCTTACGATGCTGGGACAATTTGCACCGATATATTTGGGATATTTTTATCCAACCCATTACTAGTTCTTGCACTGAACTGAGATATTTTCTGAAGGGAGCTAAAAACCCTAACTGCCTGCCTAGACCTAAGCAGGAAGGAATAAAATTGAGTTTGTGACGCGACAGTTCATTAAAGTATGTTGTTCATATTTATCTGTCCAGCTGACAGAACACCAAGTTTGATAGGATCTTAAATAATCTGGTCAGTTATTTGATCAGAAAGTCGCTTCCATCCTTGTCCTTTGAAGATTTTACGAAATTCCTACAGTAAGGAAGTTACGCCACTGTATTCACAACCCGTGGAAATATTAGTACGTTAGAATATTGTGAGGATCTAACCCAGTATAAATGAGTTCATCTCGAAGCCACAACTTTATATGAGATTCATAAACTTTTAAGCAAACCCGATGTTTGTTTACATTTACAGTGTGGAGATGGAGTTATCAGCTACAAGAACTGAAAACGAGTCTGGCATACATTAAGGGATAATATGGATTCGAATTACGTACACATTTGTATCATTGGTAGCTGATAACACTATCTAATCAAGCGTGTGTCTGAGCTCCAGAACACCACGCAGCGTAAAAGTGGGTTGAAAGAAAGCTAGACACAGTCAAACCAAAACACGACATCAGCCCATAAAGTTACTCTGTTGGTCTGAAATATGTGCGTGGATGGATGCAGTTTACCTGATAGGGGTACGCGCAATAACCGCGACCATTGGTTAAAAACTTTAGATGGCACGGATCAGAACCATTTAGTGACACAGGTGCATCCACTATTTATCTCCCTCTCGACTTTGAATTCTAGTATCCTTCTATATATACCTTTCCTCTCTGCCTTTTTGAACCATATTTCGAACGTTTAACCTCTCTCGTCACTGCTACTGTATTATTTAGGTCCTTTTTACAGATCCACAACAGATAGCACTGTTTCAACATGTGAACCAAATACTATCAACAAATTAACTACTGGAATTAGTGTGGACTTGACTGTAAATGCAGATATTTTAAGGTGGTTAATGGATCGAAGTTAATTAACTGTCAGTCTATCATATCCAAATGTAGATTTACTGTCCTGGTGGGAATGGAAATTGTTAGTGGGTACATATGTCAAAATACTAAGCTCTACCCGAAAATTCGTTACCTGCTAGTTGTTTCTCACGACTGACTAGTTCGAAAAAAAATGTAATAAAATTGTTTACGACGATCCTTTGGTAATCCGATTTGAACTAGATCATATTTACTTTACCTATTTGATAACCATGACTAATACAGAGTAACCGACAACACAATTCAAGAGTATCATGAGACCACAAAAAAATTGACTACATACTGAATTAATGCGTATTACGAAACCTCTTACTCGTTAATTATGTATAAGACCAGAAACATACCTAGCATATTGGGTGGGATATGACGCAAACCCAAATCAGTTTGAGAATGAGACGAACTAGGTAGAGGTTCATTTACTGGGTTCCTGTACTGTTTTGAACCGGGAACTGCAGTTTTTGATGAAGATGCCACGTCAAAACTTCTTTCAAAACCTGAAGGGAGTCCGGAGGTTAGTGTTGCTGCCTGCTGATCACCATGTAGATCCAGATGGTCGGGTGTGGAAAGAAGAGAGTTAGTTGAATCCCTTACCTTCTGTGAGATCAGAAATTTTTCAGCATCCAAGACCAGAAACAGAGAAAAGGGTTCACAAATCAACTGTTTCTTACAAATGTCTATACACGATATGAGTAAATAGTTTGTGCAAAAAAGTAGCACAATTATGTGAAGAGGTACATTTGTGCTTCAGCATAGTTCACATAGTCAAAGAGGATTGCCCCCAAATGCCATGGTATGGCCGAGAGTGGAGAGAGTCCGCTCTCCCTCTCGAAATGCTCTCACATGGCCACGCGTATATAGCCTCTGACAGGGAAGTTCTACTCACTACCTTCTCTCACCGGGGTGCTGTTTACGAAGTTGTGAGGACGAAAAGCGAATGTCCGGCCCCTTAAACCGGGTTGGTGGACACAGAAAGTGCAGCTAAGGGAGCTGGAAAACCCTGATTCCAAACCAATGTTGCACATGGGCTCCAGTATCCTGAGGGAACAATCAATCGTTGGTCACCAGCTACCATGGAACTGCATCTCCTTACGATGCTCCACTACCTTGTGGATCAGATCTTTAGGTTAAAGGCTCAGGGTGTGGCCCCCTAAGAAAACCACCTGATTCGGTTTGGACACTCGGGCAGTATCACAGCCCTCAAATGAGATTTGTGTGGTGCATATATATCCGGTGCCCCCTTGTACCAATACTTGTGTTTCAATAAGTAAATAAATACAATGAGGATTTCCTGCATAAACGTCAGTCAGTCAGCAACAACGTAGAACTTCGTACGTACGCACATCAGTTCATGTTGCCTGCATGAACATCACAGTCTCTTCTTATCTGAGAAAAAACCCATAAATAACCAGTATTTCTGAGCCCATGGATTATTCCATCTATATGACACCCAGTAATCCAAATTTTTCAATATGGGAGGGAACAATTTAGAATTCGCCAGAACAAGCGGACGGTGGCAATGGATACTTAAGTACCTAAAGCCAGTGAATGGTCGGGTTTATGTCAACTCATTACCCATCGTGTTCCACGTTCACAATCAACGACCTTAGTTTTACGAAGTCTCGTTATAGTCCAGTACATTAATTTATGACCATTATAACTACTAAAAGATAGTGAATGTGAATTGGTGGACACGGAGGGTCCACCTAGGGGAGTTGGAAAACCCTGATTCCAAACCAATGGTGCACATGGGCTCCAGTATCCTGATGGAACGAATGGCGGAAGAACCTGTCATTGGTCAACGGCTACCATGGGACTGCATCTCCTCACGATGCTCCACTGCCTTGTGGATCAGACCTTTAGGTCAAAGGCTCGGGGTGTGGTCCCCTAAGAAAACCACCTGCTTCGGTTTGGGCACCCGGGCAGTATCACAGCCCACACACAAATGAATGAAATGATGAACTCTGTTGACGATTCTATTCCTGCTCATACTAGAAGCAAGACAATTTACATTATTATTATTATTATTATTATTATTATTATTATTATTATTATTATTATTATTATTATTATTATTATTATTATTTAACATATAGCTAACTCAATCCCTTTTATCCCCAATTTCTGTAACCTTACTTTTCAACTTATGCAGCAGCTCGCCCATGGTGGAAAATCTGTCCTATCTAAACGATCTAAAGTCACTGTCTGGTTGAAAGTGAATGCTTCCACCGATAATGAATACTGAAGCAGTCTTTCTGAAACCACGTACGCCGTTCAAGCTGGCTTCCTTCAACGTTCGCACACTAATGCATATCAGACAACAGATAGGGCTGGCTATGTCTTTGGAAGGTCTTAATGTTGATGTTTGCTGTCTATCCGAGACCCGTATTCAAGACTCTAGTGAAGTACTACAAATCCGCTCTCCATCTGTCGCCTAGAAAAGCTTGTTACACGTGCGCTTATCCGGGGACCCTGTGGCATTTTCGTCTGGTCTTGCTGGCGTTGGCGTCGCACTAAGCGCTAGGGCTGAGGCAGCACTAATCGATTGGATCCCCATTAACAGTCGGTTATGTGCTGGTAGATTAGAAAGTTCCATCAAAGTGAGAAGAAACCGGCGTGAGAAACGGTGTCTATTCGTCATCTCCGCCTATGCTCCAACAGATTGCAGCCCGGATGCAATCAAGGATGAGTTTTACCATCAGTTAACAGTTCTCCAGAAAGCGCGTTCGACAGATATTGTAGTACTAGCCGGAGACTTGAATGCACAGGTCGGGCGTCTAGGCATAGAAGAGAGTCGTTTAGGTGGCCGATGGGGACTTGTTGGTCGCAGGACAGATAACGGGGACCGTTTGCTGCAACTGTGCACAGACCACAACCTGTTTCTGGCCAGCACTAACTTCCGGCACAGTCATCGCCGGTGTGCCACCTGGCGTCCTCCCTCTGCATCCCAAGCCTGGACTCAGATTGATCACATCGCGATCAGCTACCGCTGGCGTGGTTGTGTACAAGACTGCCGCTCCTTTTGGAGTACCTATCTGGAGTCTGATCATGCCCTGGTCTGCGCCAATCTCACCTTACTTTTCAGTGGCCGAAGGATTAACCACCACCAACGGATTGATGTTAGTAAACTGGCTGCAACTCCTGTTGCAAGTAAGTACCGAGCGGAGCTAGCCTCTAGGCTAGCTACCATCCCACCGAAAAGTATAGATGAGCATTGGTTGCATCTTCACGACGCCATGAAAATGGCGAGTAAAGCCGCTTGCGGCTTCGCGAAACGTCCCGCTTACAAGCACTGCGTCTCTTCTGGCTCCTTACAACTGATCGAAGCCCGTCGGTTCACTCCGGGTGACCGTGAGTTTGACCACAAACGAAGGCTGTTACGTATTGAAATCGGGCAAAGCTTGCGTAAGGACCGAGAAGCCTGGTGGTCGGAGCGTGCTAATGAGATGGAAGCAGCAGCTGCATCTGGTAACTGCCAGAAGCTCTTCCAACTCATCCGAGCCACTGGCAGCAAGAAGTCTGGTGTGAGTGAAACAATCTACGAGGATGATGGGATGCCAATCACTAACATCTCCCGACGTCTTGGACGATGGGCGGAATTTTTCGAAGGGCAGTTCAACTGGCCTGCTGCTCCGGCAACATCAACCAGCTTGTCCTGCCCCCCATGGCCGGTGACGACTGTTCCACCAAACGAGGCGGAAGTCCGCAAGGAACTCCAACTCTTGAAGCGCTACAAATCACCTGGCCCAGATGACTTACCTCCGGCTCTTTTTAAAGATGGTGGCGACTTTCTGACTAAGGAATTGACTGTGTTGTTTGCAAAGGTTTGGGAGCAAGAAAGTGTTCCAACATCTTGGAATGAGTCAATAGTCGTCCCTATCTTTAAAAAGGGTTCGCGTTGTTCCTGCAATAACTATCGGGGGATAAGTCTACTTTCGATTGCGTCCAAACTATTGGCTTCTATCATTCTTCGTAGGTTGTTTAAAACCCGAGAACGATTGACTCGCGAGGAGCAGGCTGGTTTTCGTTCTGGTCGAGGATGCATTGATCACATCTTCACCCTCCGCCAAATGTTAGAACACCGTCATACTTATCGCAGGCCAACAATCGTAGTGTTTCTTGATATCAGGGCGGCCTTCGATTCGTTGGACAGGACTGTTCTCTGGGATTGTCTATTGAAGAAGGGTGTGCCTGAGAAGTTCATTAACATCTTAAAGGCCCTGTACACGAACACCTCAGGCAGAGTGATGGCATACAACCACCTTTCTCCCTTGTTCCATTCAAGCAGTGGGGTTAGGCAGGGTTGCCCGATCTCACTATTCCTCTTCAACTTTGCCATCGACGACATCCTAGAAACAGCTCTGGTGGATGTAAGTAATGGCGGTGTGGATATGTTGCCTGGAGAACGACTTCTCGACCTTGAGTATGCGGATGATATTGTCTTACTGTGCGATAATGCCCAAGGCATGCAATCAGCACTTAATCAGTTGGCAATCAGTGTCCGCAGGTACGGCATGTGCTTTGCACCCTCCAAGTGCAAAGTACTTCTACAAGACTGGCAGGATTCTAATCCTGTACTCACCCTATATGGTGAGCAGATCGAAGTAGTTGAGAAGTTCGTGTATTTAGGTAGCTATATAAGTGCTGGTGGTGGCGTGAGTGATGAGATTGATGCATGTATAAGGAAAGCCAGATGGGCTTATGCCAATCTGGGTCATCTTTGGCGCCTTCGTGATATTAGTCTGGCTGTAAAAAGTCGGATTTACAACGCGTCGGTGAGAGCAGTTTTGCTCTATGCTTGTGAAACCTGGCCTCTCCGAGTTGAGGATGTTAGACGTCTCTCTGTGTTCGATCATCGTTGTCTCCGAAGGATTGCTGACATACAGTGGCAACACCATGTTAGTAATGCAGAGGTTCGGCACCGTGTGTTCTGGCACAGAGACGATAATTCAATTGGTGTCACCATCTTGAAACACCGACTTCGGTGGCTCGGACATGTTCTACGAATGTCGTCCCAGAGACTTCCACGTCGTGCATTATTTGCCGATGCTGGGACTGGTTGGAAAAAGCGGAGAGGAGGTCAGTGTATGACATGGTGTCGTGGCATGAAAGAAAGCTGCAAAAGGCTAGCTTCTGTTGGTCCTTCACGACTCCCTGGCTGGGGTCCGAGAGATGGTGCAACACAGTGGCTAGAGACGTTATCAGATATGGCTCAGAATAGAAGCCAGTGGCGATCCTGCTGCAACCTTCTTTTACTTTCTACATAAAGTATGGTTCTTACTTTCCTATTTGAAAGAGTCTTCTGGTTGTACATTTTAGTCCGCCTTATCTTTTCATCCCTTCTCTTCCTACTTTCATTATTTTGTGTGGCGCATATGTACCTGGTGCCCTTTTGTACCAATATATATGTTTAAATAAATAAATAATAATAATAAATGAATGTGAATTATCAAGTCCTCAACTTCAGAATCAATAGCTACTACAATACCTTTAAGAGCTACGTTTGCTGTTGAAATGGATCTTTTAAAATTCAAAAATTCCTAAGGTTTGTTCCGACTTAATACGATATTTACTCAACAACTGGTAATCTTGTCGCTAACCCGGCCATTGCTGCTACCTTGACGTGGTGGTCCGGCTTGTCTATCGTGATGAACCAATCGAGCTATACTGTCTGGAACAATGTTCCTCAAGGTCCTAGTATGCCAGGCAGGTCGGGTGAAGAGTGGTAAGACTAAAAGCAGCAAAACCGAGGTCCGAATGCGAAGTCGTAATGCTGACTGTACAGAGGTGTGACAGCAGTAAGGTGTTTCCTTCAGACAACCAGCATAACAGCGATGCTGTCTTTCCACAAGGAGGGGTGGGGTTAGAAAAGGTCAACCCTAAAAATGCACACCTCGCCTTATCCCGCGGATATCCGTCTTCGGTGGTAAGGTCCCAACAAGTACGGAGCTGACACAAAAATTACCTACAAAAAGGTAGTGTGTGACCGGCCACAATCAGTTGTCCCCTGAACACTGCGGTCACGCTCACAGGTCATTAAGACCACTTCTAATCCAATTTCCTTTTCAGGTACCTCTAGAAGAATCCTTCCACGGTGTGGGCAACCGAGAAGTGATAACTGCCCCCATACCTCAAACAGCACTCAAGATCACCGTATTCATCATCAATTTTAATTCATCTTGTCGCTAATTCGATTGTGATGCTCATCCTTCGTATTCAACTGGATGTCAGAAACATTAATCCAGAGTGGAGTTTATTGCTATTAACAAAGAGTAAGATGGCTGTTTTATCTTTATTGTTCCAGTTTCATCATGTACCGTCACTGTTGTCTGTGCATTTAGAAATTGTACAGTAAACAAGCTGGTTTACAGCAATACAATTAAACATTTACTTTTAAGACGTATTCAGTATCCACTTATTTACGAAACAGATGTTAGACGATTACTCAACATACACAACATACACTGAGAATATATCTATCAAAAATCATTTGTAGTATTAAAACATACCGGTACCGAGATCTGATTGAAATAATCAAAATAAGATTCCCTGACAGCTTGGTCTTCAATACACCGATTAATTGCATCTTGTTCTGTTTCTGTCAATTTTTCACGTAGCATAGCCTCTTCAAGATGGGTACTTTCAGATTCTCTGATTGCGCGAGCAATAAGGTCTGGTTCAGCCAACTGGAAAAGGATTAATGGTTTTAAGGGGACATACACTGGGTTGGTAGTTAGGCATTCCTAGACCGTGACCAAATGACGGGTTGAAAGGATCCACTATGGAATTATAGTGGACACGGCCATGATAGCTTAGTCTGATGGGAAACTCCTTGGAATAGTCAGCATGAAAAACATTGATGGGTTCCACTGAACCATGGTATATTTCGACAGGTCTGTTGTACAGTTCTGCAATAGCCTGGATCTCCACATGATTTCCGTAACAAGAAGCATCCCTCTTGCGTGATATGTAGTGATCGAAGTCTTCTGTCAAATACTGTGAAAAGTGCTCCTTGTTTTTCACCTTAAAAGAATTTCAAGGGAAAAGGAGTCGATAAGTTACCATGTAATCTATAACCTGTGAACGAACAAGATCGTGCTTCTCTTCATCACCGAATATTTGATGAGCTGTAAAGTTTACATTAGGGAATAATAACCTACAAACACTACGGAACAAACAAGCGCCATCTGATTCTACTTTAATTAACTTCCACCCTTTTTTTTCTGCGAGCAACCGTTCAAGACAATCATCTGCAGGCTTAGTCAATTGGAGTAGGGTGAATAATAGCCTTACCTGAGTAGGTGAACCCCTCCGGCCCTGCTTCCCGAAATAGTATTCATCCTCACTGTTGTTGCCAGAGCCGTCATCTACCACATTGGGTTGAGATATGACCTGGTTTGACTTATTTTCTCGAACGTGTGGCCTGCATTCGTTAGCGTTAAGGGGTTCATGTTGTTGAGATAATAAACGTTGGGGATGGGTGAAGGCCCCATGAGAAGGGAAAATGGACGCATCAATAGGAAATGGGTAGGTTAATGGTGAGTGGGGAGCTTCAATATCTTGACTAATGTTGGGCTCATGGTGAGAACAGCGGTGTCTGTTACGATGAGAGAGGATATCCCTACGTTCTTCGCTATAAGGATATGGCTTATAGCCGAAACTGTGTCGACTATTCGTAGAAGTCCCTGGAGGGTCTCTTTCAGATTTCAGTCTATCTTTTCGATTTTTTATGGTCATTTCAGACTGTTTGCAGGTTGTGTATAGTGAGAGTTTACCAATTATATCGTCAACAAGATTATCCAAACGAGAATCCGGGATATCGGAGTCCTCAGATGATTCTAGACTAGATCCGCCACCAGACGATAAACCGCCTTCAGACACCATTACATAGTAGCGCCATTTCTCACTCGTCTGTAAGATGGTCAGTCCTATTTCAAACTTCTGTAAACAAATTTCATGAAACGACAGAACAACTTTTCCTTACTCGTAGTCAGACCAGAGAAACGGGAAAGCCACAACGTTCAATGTACAATATTTTAAGTGCTACGAATTGGATTTGATAATACGACGTAATAGAAAATTTAACAACCATCCCTGAATCTTAAAAGTGGTGATATGAATCAAGATATATTATTCGGCGGATATAAACCACTTCATAAGGTACCCATACCAAACGTCACTATTAGGCTTAATTTCAACATCCTGTCCCCATGACAAGCCACAGTCTTTTACATGAAAAAGGACCTTCTAGGAAACAAAAGTGCAAAGAAGTGTTGCAACACACAAAGTTTTGGTAATACATCAGTTAAACTGGCTTTTTTATCTGACCATGCTAAATTCGGAAAACCAGCAAATGACTCGGAAAAGGTCCTCTCAATGCCTCATAAGTTTACTGCTATTCGCTACCAAGCAAAGTCAGACGAACGCAGTCTTTTCGACGGAACAGCAAAATTTGTGAAATACATGATCTGTAAATGGTGCGGCTGTATACGAATCCCAAAATCAATAGCCCTGTAAGTGTCTGACATTGGGTGCTAACCTCATTAGTTTTAGTGGACTCATTTAGCTGAGGGCACTCGGTCATGCATCCGTGGGAAACATCTTCCAATATCATTAGCTAGATCAGATCAGTCACCCCTCGATATATTGATAACCCATCAAATATATCTTCCGACCTCCTCGCTTCTGATTTTTGATTTTACTGGATGGGCGCGATTCGATTATAGATGTTACTGGTAAAGTGTTGTCAAACTACAATACTGGTGGTATCTCCACTGGGAAGCCCAAATACTTACCGAAAACATCTATACAGTGACCAACCCTATCATCAGCCATCTCGGCGATCGTGAACGTAAAATTGAACCAAACTCGGAACGAGTCGGATACAAAAAGTACTCAGACGAGACAAAATCGGACAACATTGGTACGCTAGTCTCTTCTATGTAGACATTCTGGAACTTTAACAAGAAGACGACAAGAAGCTGCATCTGGCCAGTATGTAATGGAATCAGAACACACAACTTATGATCTATCCCGTTACATCGGGGGTTGCTCTCCAAGGCAATTTGAAGAGTGATTTGGCACGGATGCTTGCCTGGGCGTCTTCAGACAGTTGTGTGTCAAATCAACACTAATAACTTCAAAGTCGTATTATAGTGAACGTGAGCACCAGCAGGGACAACCGAATGTACTTGAGTACAACATTACAGAATCTCAGTAAAATCTGAGAACCATACAGTAAATACTTCATTTCCGAAATGCTAACCAATCGTCTCAGGCTTGATTGTTTCTTCGTTCCCACATCAGCCATTCTCTGTTTTCGTTATCTTCTCTTCGATCTTCCTAACCTTCTGCCACCAGGCATTTCACTTTCGATTAGTGATATATACTAGTTATATCTATCGACATCAGTAGCACCCACAACAGCATGATTTCTATGTTATTTATTTTGACTTGTTAGAAGCAGCAGGCACTTGACACATCTCGAAAACTATTTCAATAGTTATCAGCTCGAGGAACTATGAGACCTTTAAAGATTTGTAGTGGTATATAAGTCATCAGAATCTGTAGGTCTTCGACATTTGACGCTGACTGCATTAGTTTTACTGGACTCACCTAGCTGTAGGCGCTCAGTCACTCATTCTTATTTGACCAGTGTGGCATACTTCTACTACAAAGGTGACACTGGTTAAAGCGTCATCGAACCTCGAATACTTGTGATATCTTTAGTGGTGGCCTCGACGTGATCTGGTACACTAATTCGTAAATTGTCAGTCTGTTCCTTGTTGGAACACAATATATATCACTTTTTAACTTTCATTTTTATATATTGTGATAATTTTTTATTTTCCGACATTTTTTCTTGTTTATTGGTATTTGGTATTCATCATGGCCGAGTAGACTCCTAAGTTGTTTGAGATCAAGACTCCTTCGCCTCCCTAATCTTCACTAACGCCATTTTGGCCCGACAGTATAGAAGCTTGATTCTGCTACACAGAAGCTGGCTTCCACGAGCATGGCGTGTCAGACCTAAGTGAACAATTCCTCGCCTCAATTAAGTTGCTATCACGCGATTTCAACAAATGTGATATACCTGGCATGTTCACTTGTGATGTCTCTGAACCTTACGAAACTTTAAGAAAGGCTATTCCTAAGTGTGGAGATCTAATCGACCCAAAACGGTTAGTCCAACTCTTCAACTACATCGATATGCAGCATGGCTCCGCAACAAACATACTGCTATGATTGCGAGAGGTCATTGGTCAATGGAACTTCGGCGAGAGCCTGTTCAGACAACTCCTCTTGTCTCAGCGTCTACAACAGGTGCAGGTAGTGCTGATCTCATTTCAAAACAACTCTGTAGATGAACTGGCTGCATCCGCTAACTGGATTCTGGAAGTAAACCAGAATTCCCAGACGCGAGGTCTATTCGGTGAAAGTAAAACTTCAAACGACACGAAGTGACGTCACAGACTTATGCCATACTCTGACACGTTACATTAATATTCGTCATCACCTAAGACGCTTCCAAAGTCCTAGAAGTAGTTCTTCACGAAAACTATCTATCTCTAGATCACGAGAGACAGGTAACCCCGATTGGTCTTGGTACCTTAAAAGGTGTGGAAAATTTCGAAATTGTAGAAAATTCAAACCATCCGACACCAAACGCTCCAAGGAACTTCACAGCCGGCACGCGTTAATGACAGCAGTAGCCAGCGAACATAGCCATCTATTATATATCACTGATGTGAAGACGGCAGTTCGCTACCTCGACAACAATCGCGCAGATATTAGCGTTCTCCCAGCAAATTCTAACGTTCGACTGCACGGGGCAGTTGTGAACTGACAGGCGGCAAATGGGAAAACAATCGCCACATATGGTAAGCGATATGCGCATCTTAATATGGGTTTACGCCAACCAATTCCCTGAATCTACGTTGTTGCATATGTTTCTATGGTAATCATTGATAATGATCTTCTCAGCACCACCATCTTATTATCTACACGCACAAACGGAGGTTAGTAGATGGAAATAATGAATTATCTGTTTGTGTACCTTCTCCCGGTTGTAGATTATAACAACTCATAGTAAGGCCCATGATCGATCCTTACTATCAACAAATAATCGATAAGTACCCCGCGATTCACCGAGCACAACCGAAATCGTCATGTGTAACCATCAATGTTACACATCACTTCATGACGACAGTACCACCTGTATTCTCGAAAGCACGCGGACTAGTTCCCGAAAAGCTGAGGTTGGTCAAAGACGAACTTGACCATTCGATTCACATAAAAATCACTCGATCGTCGAATAGCCCATGGGCATCTCTCTAGATTTTCTTGGGCACACTATTGATGCTCAAGGTATCCGACATCCGAAAAGCAAAGTGGTGGCCATTCCGGATCACCCAGAACCGACCACGGTCAAGCAATTACGTGTGTTCAACGGGGTAATGAGTTCTTGTGAACGTTTGAATCCCAAATGCGCATCTGTCATGAAACCCTTAAACGAAAAACTTATTAAACAATCAATGACAGGTAAAAAAAACTTCATTATGTTACTCACCTACGTGTAAGGATCATCTTATTGTTCCGGAAAACTATAGACGCAACATCTTCCCATTCATGTGTTTGCACAACTATCAAGATCATAACAGGATGATTTTGTCGGCCTGGTAGTGGGAAAGCTCCTGTGTAAGCTTACAGAAATTCAAGGTTATTTGAAACAACAGATGTCTCTTAGGTGTATTCAAATCTCCCGAATCTCGTTTCTACCATGTTCACCTCCATTCGGTAGGACCTTAACCAGATTAAAATGGATATACGTTACTCACCTCGTTCGGAGATTCTTCGTTCTTTTGTGACTCACTCCTTTTAATAAGCTTTCGCCCTATATTACCCAGCGCTTATTTACGGATAAATAGCTTATGCATTCGGTATGTTGGTTCATGATCTAGATAAGTCCGTTTTAGCCTATTAATACTTACGGAGTCGATGTTTCCTTGTTTTTCTACCTTGAAATATTTAGATTTCCTTGAGGATACTCTGAAAAGACCTTCGAATGGAGCACTAAGCGATACTTTAGTTTGTCGCACCTTATCCAGACGTGCATGCAATCGCTTAGATCCTTCGGTATACATGTATCTCGCTATTGTTCACGAGTAATGATTTGTTTGAGTTTGGACATTTGGTCTTGTAGTTGATCCACGTAATTTTCTAAATCAAGCTTTTTACCGTCAGTATGAGAGTTAATAAACTCACCCAACAGTGTGTGTCGTCCCAAAAACTGGTTCCGCTGCTGAACACTGTGAGTCAATTTTGACAGCTGTTCGTATTCCCAAAATAACTAATGCCAGGAATTCTGTCCACTGATTATCGTTTGAGTGAGATACAAGGACAGTCTTTAGTTGAAGGTGAAAACGCTCTACCATCCCATTAACCTGAGGGTGACATGCAAGGGAACGTACATTATTGGAGCCTAGAAGATTAGCTAAATTGCTAAATAGTTCACATTCAGATTGTGCTCCACTGTCCATCGTTACTGTTATAGGTGTACGGAAAATGGTTATCCAGTTCTGCGTGAACATTTTAGCCACTCTTTCAGCTGTGATGTCTGTTATCAGTATGGCCATAGGGAATCTCGTGAGTCGATCTACACGTGTAAACAGGTAATTAAAACCATCCGAACGCGGTAAAGGGCCTTTAAGTCGATATGCACATGGGCGAAACGTGCATCTAGTTGTGAAAAAAAGCCGACGGATGAATTTGTGTGACGATTAACTTTTGACTGTGGACACGTGGAACACACTCTAACCCATTTGTGTACATCCTTTTGTAAATTTGACTATATATACCTGGCATTGATTAGTGTAGTCGAAGCTTTTGAACCAGGATGAAACAAAAAATGAACGTTAATAACATATTAATTTTCTCATACTTTTGTGGGCCAGAGGTTGTGGCATTACCTTGGTCGTGTCACAGTAAAACAGAAGACCGTCAATAGGCGATGGTAACTGCTTTAGATTGAGACTAGCGTTATTT